TGAGCCATCGCAACCGCAGTGCAGCCTCCCGGGGCCCCCACCAGCACACGCACCTGCCTCTCCCCCGGGCCACAGCATTCTGAAGTTCTCTTACTGATTGTTTTTATCTGACACTCACAGACGGCCGAGGGATGTCAAATGAGGAAACTGAGGCCCAGAGCGGGGGGCAACTGGCAGAGACTTTAGCTTCCCGGATCCTGCATCCTGGTTCTCTCTGCTGCACCTTGGTCCAGCAGGACACTTGGTCCCGTCCCAGGCAACCCCTGCCTGGGTGCCATAAATCCAGGCCAGGATGGGGAGCGCCTTGAACGTTGTCCCGCAGGGCCGGGCGACACCCTAACCCAGTGCCCCGGGGCCACCTCAGTGTCCGGGCTCCTGCTGAGTATGACTAGGAGGCCTTCTCGAAGGTCACACACCTGCTCTCACACCTCCGTGACTCCTGGCATCTCCAGGGCACACTTCTCACTACCCACCCCAGATGCTCAAGGCCTCCGTCTGGCATCAGCAAAACCCCCCAATTCTGCCCCAAATCTGACCCTCCCTCTCACCCTGCAGCTCCCCCTGCCTGGAGGAACCCCGTTCCTGGTTTCTGCCTCCTCACAGCCTCCTTAGCTGCAGCCCACAGAATGCCTCCTCCAGGGAGCCCTCCAGGTTGCCCCCACCACTGGAGCCCACCGTCCGGGCATCTCTCGTGTGCTCAGCCCAGCACCCAAATGTCAGACCGTTTTACAGCCGAGGAAAAGAAGGCGGGCTGTTCCTACCTCCTCAAGCAGCCCTTGACCTTGGCCTTGGACCCTGGTTCCATTAGAGCTACTTTTTTACATCGACTTGCTCGTAAAAGCGAAATGTGGTTCTAGATAGAAAAACACGGCCCGTCCCTAAACTGGAGAAGTCGCATCATACAACATAAAATGAATCACGGGGACAATGTCACAACCAACATACTGTGCGTCACCCAATCTTTTGTACGTGTCAGTATCAAAACTGTAGTTAGGAAAACAATATCTAAAACAAGCAGGCCTGGGCCACAAATCCCAGCCCACTGGGCTGAGCCACTCTCCTGAGGACCTTGCGGCGCCCCCCGCGGACACCGTCTCCTTGAAAGTTACTGCAGGTAGACGCGTCTTCAAAAGAAGAATAAGCTTCAAGGCCTGTCTTCTCCCACCTGAAGCCACCAGCCCAGGACTCTCTCTGCCAATGGCCACAGCAAGCACCCCTCCTGCATCTCAGGCTGGTTGGTATTCAGCAGGTGCTTAATGAAGGCTGGCTGAACTGGGTGTGGTCTCTGCAAACGCCACTCCCCCCCAGTGCTCGGGGGGTGGGGGTTGGCTTACTTTAGCATGGGCCTGGCCTGGCTGTCCGTCTGGGCCTGCCCTCCAGACCCGAGCCACCAGCTCTGTCCCCACAGCCTGGGGATCCCTGGGGAGAGCAGGTGTGGCAGGGGGGAGGCAGGAGCGTCTGCCCAGTGAGAGGCTGGATATTCACTCACCTCGATTGATTTGTAAGCCACCGTGAGACATGAACTCCGAGAAAAGATCCACCCGCCCCAGGGTGTTGGGTCTCCTGCTGGGTGGGGCGAGGGTGGGGGCACCACTTCCTCCTCGGCCATCCTCCCAGATGACTCACTAAGGCCAACAGGAGGGGTTCAGCCTGGGGCTCGGGTTCAAGGTCCCCGGGCCTCTCTCACCTGTGGCCTTGGGCACGTCTCAGCTCACACGTCACCTTATTTGCTCCTCATAAGACCTTGCGACCATTCTTGTCCCCAGTTCACGGCAGAGGGAACCAAGGCGCAGAGAGAGAAAGTAGCTCATCCGCGGTCACCCAGGAATGACAGAGCAACAGGTCCTGAAGTCCAACCCTTCACTCCCAGTCAATTGCCTCCTCCTCCAGGAAGCCCCCACCCTGTCCCCCGATTGTTCCTCCCCAGCCCCACCCCATTCCCAGATCAACACAAAACTGAAACTGTGTCGATGGCCCCCGGAAACAGGTTTATGGCACCTGCTGCCTCATCACCGCACCTGCCCTCCCATCCTGGGGGCAAAGGCCTGCTGGAGAGGCTGAGGCTGGGACGGGGCAGGTCGCGCAGCAGGGAGGGGCTCCCGGGGCTCCTTCTCTGCCACTCGGGGCTGCAGTCCTTGGGGCCCCTGGCTGGGCAGAGCCCCAGCACTTTCACATAGAGGGCTAAGTCTCTGCCCCAGCCCCACGGGATCCCTGCCGTCCCCTCTGAGGGGGGACGGGGCCCTGCGCTGCCACCGCACGGATGGACGGCCCCACCCCCATCCTCCCCTGTGTACTCCCCAGAGCCGAACCCCCAGGGTGTCGCATGCTGCTGCCCAGGCAAGGCTCCGGCTGGTGCTAAGTGCTTCCCAGAAGCCTCCAGGGTCTCCAGAAGCCTCCCAGAAGCCTCTCTGGCCTCTTGCCATAAGGGTGCCAATCAGGCCCCTCCCTCGGAGCTCAGATCAGGCCCCGCCCTCGGAGCTCAGGGCTCAAGGTTCCTAGATCTCGGGGCTGGAAGTCCAGGCCCAGACTAAGGCCCCGGCGAGGTCCAAGGCCCTGCCCTTTGCTCCCTGGGGGGTGGGGGAGGTCAAGAAGAACAGACCTCAGGGCCTCAGAGCCAGCCTGGGCGAGCAGAGCCAGAGTAGGGGTCACTGCCAGGCCCTGAGATCCTCGCTGGGCCCAAAGGGGTAAGGGGCGAAGAGGGAGGCACTCCGAGGGCCTCGCAGGTTATTGGCTGGTGCCAACTGGCATAGGAACTCCATGCCAAAAGCAGACCTCACCCTACGCAGGACCCACCCTGCCCAAATTTCGTGCGCACTCAGCCTCACCTGCCGGCTCCCGGCCCAGCAGCCTCCGACCTGGCTCTGCTCCTGCAGGGCACACTGGTCTCACACAGGGCCCTGCCCTGCCCACAGGTTGCCAGGAGACAGGGCCCCACCCGAGCAGGCAGGTGCTGCCCCCTCCTCTATGGCCCCACCTGGGCTTCGGGGTAGGAGTCCGGAGGAGGAGGGAGAAAGCCGACACCCAGGCAGGACGGAGGGCGGGCTCCATGCCCGCTGCGCGCTGCCCCTGCCCCTCAAGGCCTCCAGCCCTCCTAGCCGCACTCACCCCAACACCTCGCTGGAGCTGCCGCCTGGCTCTGCCACCCCCCACTGCTCAGAGTGTGGCATCGCTCGCCCAGGGTCACACGGCAAGTCCAGGCACCAGCTGCCCATTCCTAGGCTGGGGTGGGGGTGGGGTCTGAGGCCCAGACCCCCATGGTGCCACCTTGGGGCTACGACCCCAAAGCCCCTTTCTGGAACAAGCCTGGCTGGCCCATCTCTGGGGGTTCAGCTGGGCCTGGGTTCGAATCTCCGTAACCTCTCCAAGCCTCTGTTTGTTCCTCTGTGAAATGGGACCATCACCTATCTGGCAGAATTCCCCGGGCCACTTGGTCATAAAGGATCCACTGAGGATGTGAAAAGCTCCAGCAAATGGTGGTGGGTGGGCCAGGCCCAGGCCCCTGACAGAGGCCGGGGCTCCGACTGGGCCTCCCCATCCTGCCTGAATCCTGGCTGAGGCCCGAGCACCAGCGAGAGCTGTGAGACCTGTGTCTGCGGGGGAGTCGGGTCCCCGCCCCAGCGGTCAGTCCACGGGAGATGGGACAGTGGGCTGAGCCTCCACGCCCGGGCTGGGGCTCTGTCCTGCCCCCTGGCTGGCTGTGAGGCCCCCCTGAACTGCAGTCTCTTCTTCCATCAGATGGGCCCCCAGCCCCGAGTCCCACAGGGCTGCCTGAGATGCGGGGACGAGATGGGGACGAGATGGGTCCGGCTGAGGTGCCCAGCCCGGAATGACAGCTCGACTGTGCAACGCGGACCAGCTCCACTAAAGGCCTCGCTGACTCCTCCCCACACCCGTAGGTCCTTTGTGTCCCCTTTCTCAGACGTGGCCTGACCAAGCTTCAAGTCCTGCCTGAGGGTGGACGGTGTTAATGGCAGGGCCGGGATTCGAACCTGAGTCCACCACACTTACCACCCTGTGTTGCTTATACAGGGAAACTGAGGCCCCGAAAGGCAGAAACTGCATGGGATGGCGTGTGGGCACGGTGGAGACACGGACCCCACTGTCCTGCTGCGGATGGGGTGGCCTCCCACTCAGGGTTCAAAGCCCACGGAACAATGGGCAAACTGAGGCCCGAGCAGACAGCGATTTCTCCCAGAAACATGGGCACCTTCACCTGTTCCTCAGAGACTGGGTTCCCTGCAGAACTCGGGGTGTCTGTGGGGCTCTTTCCATCCCTTGGGGAGTTGAGAGCCCAGCAAGGGGCAGCCTCCCAGTCAACGGCCCGGAGGGGGGAGGGGCGATGTAGCACAGCGGGCTCCGCGGGAAACGGGAAGCGGGGACCTCCAGGCCTTACCTGCCCTGGTGCTGCTCGGATGTGCTCAGGTGCAGCAGGTGGGACTCCAGCGACGCCCCTGCCGCAGTGCCAGGCGAGCCCGCGGGGTGCAGGGGCCGTAGACCGGACGAGTCGGGTCCCCCGCCCTGCGCAGCCTCCCTTTATGGTCCCCCGCAGGCCGGGAGGCCCCGCCCCCTGGCCGGCCGCGCCCTCCCCGCCAGGGACATCCAAGAACGCCAGGGCGCGGAGCTGTTCACACGGTTTATTTGCTTCTCTGGGGAAGTCGAGAACAC